GGGAGAAGCCAGCTCCCTACAAGCAGCAATGAATAAAGATGTACCCGCTATCTCAGCCAAACCTCATAATGTCATGACTCGAAAAAAGATAGTGAGGATGGTGACAAAGACGAAAACCTGACGCCAGAGTACACTTTCACGCAAGTTTTCACACTGTGCCAGCAACTTGAAGATGCTTGCCTTCAATTTGGTGAACTCAAGCTCTCATTTGATCTCTCAAAACGGCTGCAGGCATTTAGGGCTTGTGTGCACAGAGAGGAATTTTGCAGAGCAAAGCAGACAACAATAGATTCATACTTCAGTAAATAGAAAATGATATGTTCTGTACTGCTCTCAGCTGTCACACTCTTGAGGGAGGTCACACGGCATCACAATGTGTCACATATGTCACACAACTTGGTTATGCATAAGGGGTGATAATGCACAGGCTCCTTCCCATCCGCTGGTTCAAGTGTGGAGGGGCAGAATTGGATCACGTGCTACAACAAAAATTCAAACCCAGCCCAACTTTAATTCCCCTCACACTCTCACCAGCAGCTGGAAGATAACATTTGTCAACAGCGTCAGCCACAGGCAGAACGTGAATTTTATTTGCTAAGACTGAACGTAGGGTTAGATATACTGCAATATATTTCGAGTACTTTTGTCAAATACAACGCCGGTTATACTAATTAAATGCTTCCGTGCTCATACTATGCAGCATGTAGTAGAAGAAATCATCAACATCTTTGAAAGAAATAGCATCACAGCATCACAATTTATCCTCTCATTACTCACTTGCCAACAGTTCAATAATCATCATGTTGTGTGAGATTTGGTAGCACACTCACCCGACATACTAGCAGCATTTCTGCAACATCCTTCCAAGGAAGACACATTCATAAACTCCGTGTGCAAGCTCGTTCATGAACAATACATTGCCGATATACGGAAAATCTCATCTGAGCATGCAGGTTGGCATTTTGGTGCATCCAGTGCAACTACCAAGCAGCTGGAGGACTTCAGCATCGAGGAGATGGCCTGGGAGATGGAAACTAGCGCACCTGCATTGTGGAACTTACTGGGGGGATTACTTGGTGAAGATCGCAAGCTGCCACTGATTGTATGCAAGAAAGGAGATGGAGAAGCACATGACAGCACAAGCAGTGTGCAAATGTCCGTTGATGACAGTTATTGGGATCAGGTTGACGCAATAGATCTCGAGGGGTTTATCAATGGACTTTGAGAGGAGTGACAATGATTTGAATGCCACCATCATGGAACAGCAAAGGTAACCAGAATCCAAGTGTTTTCCCCATTCCAGTGCCCGCTGTGCATATAACATCGCTGTCGCCTTTGAGCAGAGCCTGGGCCACTTTGAGCTGCCACAGACAAGGCTTGATACCGAATTTTTCGAGAGAGTGTGACCGAATGTCAGTTATTGATGGTATCTGCTGATTGTTAGAAGCATCTTGATTAGGAGAAGGTGCGTGTGCGGCCATTTGATTGTTACTATAGCCTTAGAATATAACCGGCATTGTATTTGACAAAAGTACTCGAAATATATTGCAGTATATCTAACCCTACGTTCGGTCTTAGCATATAAAATTCATGTTCTGCCTGTGGCTGACGCTGTTGACAAATGTTATCTTCCAGCCGCTGGTGAGAGTGTGAGGGGAATTAAAGTTGGGCTGGGTTTGAATTTTTGTTGTAGCACGTGATCCGATTCTGCCCCTCCACACTCAAACCAGCGGAAGGAGCCTGGATAATGCATAGCCTGGGAGGGGTCCCGACGTTATGCGTTATGAAAAAGTGTACTGTATATGTTTTGTGACTACAAGGAAGCTAAGCATCAGGTCACTAGAACAACTTCGGGTGAGGTGAGTCTAGTCTAACTCAATATGAGTCTAGGTTGAGTGATGTGGTGAATTCCTATATAGTTCCAACAAGCAAGAACGACAGGAGAAGTAGTAGCGAATGTATATATCAACACAAAATGGGTCACCTCACTGTGTCAACGAATCCAGTAATGAGATTATTGTTAATGATGGATCCAGATTTACCACCACTCGTCTGCAAACCAGACCAATCCCAGTCACCTATCATCGTATGTCAGAAATGGACTGAGAGAAACTGTAACTCGTGTACCTGTGCACGATCCACTTCCACAGTTCACTGCAACCCTGTAAGTACCGCTGTTGGCCGTCAAGGAAGTGGTGCCATGGTTGAAGTTAATATCCTGGAACAACCCATGAAACCCTTGTTCACGTAAACCTGAAAGAACACATACAGAGATGGTGGCCCCGTTGCCCGGGGTCCCCATGTTGGAGGGATAGCTCTGTAGATATGTCATATGATTGACGACGGGAGAGCGTGGTACACACGTACCTGGGTGATCAAAACACCAAAATAGGTACAGTTTGTTGCAATATTGTCCTACAGAATATTCAGTCCAGGATCATCATCGTCGTCGTCATTGTCATCAAAACCACTCACGCTATACGTAACATTCTTCACCATACTGTTTGTCGCAGATGTATCGGTCTTGATACGGAACGAGTATGCGCTACTCGTGTCAGTACAACTCTCATTCACCCTTGTGCTGTAGTCACCTGCTAACAACGTGGTTTCCGATAATCTCGATGTCGGAGACGACGGTATTTGACGAGATGGAGCCCTAGACGAGAAATATTTCAATCATTTGGTTCGCAAAATTGATGAAGTGGTTCACAATGGAGATACCGTGACCATATTCACAGTAGTTGTCGGCAAATGTGATGTTTGTTCCCCTTTTGATAGCTAAACAATCGTCCTGCAAAAACAAATACCTTGTAGGCGAAGGGACATGGAAGCTCAATCGTCAGACGGACCTGATTGAGGACAGTGCTGAATACCCGTAAGTTTCTGAGTCGACTGAGTAACTAGAGGATAGACAAACCAATTTTGAATGAGTATATCACTACCGCCAACATCAAAGCCGTCGGTGTTGTGTGCTTTCCGCAGGCAAGTTCAAAACTGTCCGATAGATGAACACGTCACTTACCAGCAGCGGCGCGTCCGCTTCGCGAGTTGGGATAGTTACCCTGCACTGTTCTTGATGTCAAAATGAGACACTGCTAACAACATGCAACTACATACAATCATCGATAGTGACACCAGAGATAGTGAGAGGTCCTGGATTTATGATCGAAAAGACGTGGGCGGGAGAGTTTACAACATAAACATCCTGCATAAATAGATTAGCAATCTGTCTGGAACGGCTGGGGCGATTAGAGCACATACGTTCAAGGTGCCCGAGATTGATATTCTGGCAGACCCAAGATTGAAAAAGAATGTAGTACAACAGTGACTAACCAGCTTACTGCATCATTGGGAGTGGTCTTGTGACACCATTACTGGAACCTTGACCGTCCTGTATCAATGTAACATGAAGCGAAATCCTCGCAAGTGAACCAGCATATTTACCCAGTAAAAAGGTCCTCCGCCATCCCACCTCTGGTTGTTTCCATTGACTGAGAACGTTAGGGATTGCCACGACTTCAAATAACCCACATACAAGTAACGTCATTCCCCCTGTTAAGACGGCCTTTATCAGGTTCTCCGAGCCACTTGAAGTAGTAGCGCCTGCACTCACATCACCCGGAATAGAGGACCAGCCCAGCTCAAATTTCCGAACTGAATCTCGCCCACTAAAGAGAATCAGGAATACGTAAAGCGAAGCATCAGATCACGCTCACAAACGTTGACAGTGGTACCGTCCAGCAGCTGCAATTTGAATGTTTTTCCACCAGGGACGGTGAACGCATTAATATTCACTGTCGTGCATTGGATAGCACTGCTAACATCGTCCAATGATGAGATTGTACCGATGCAGCCACTGCCGCTGGCCGCAGCGACTGCAGTAATGCCGGCCACGAGGAAACCAAGAGCTAACGAGGGAAACATGATGATGGATGTGAGCGATTAGCCTAACCTTAAATCTGGCAGAGGATACGGCTATCGGTGAAGGCAAATTGATCTTGCACGCAAGCTCTATTTGCCGGTCTTATGTGTGGGGTTCGTTGTCTAGGCGGTAGGCAGCGTAGGCTATGGAAAGCGGGAGTGGTCAGCTCGGCAAGAATGGTATTTTGTAGCCTAGTACCCCCTGCCACTCATCACTGCACGGCACAGAACAGCTTGCGAGAGTATTCATCCTCTATCGATGAGTCCGTGGTGCTGGTGTACCGCGTGCCTCTTATGGAGTTCCTAAGGAGACACAAATCTCAGAGATGGGTTTCGTCCTCTAACGAAACCAGGTCCAAGAGACCGCAAGAATATCGGAAATGTGTAGACTGCAGCAATTTGATTGTCGCTGGTCTCCAGTAGTAACTGGCCTGATGGAAGATGTGACAGACTGACAGTCAATATTATGGCCCACGTGCCGTTTGAGCAATGTGAGCGTAGATGGCCAAATATAACATTCAAAATTCAAAATTCAAAATTCTACCACCAATGGCCAACGTCACCTGAAATAGAAGGTGGCTCCCGGATCCGTTTGCAGCCTCTGGAAATTCACTGCATTTTGGGATGAGGTGGGACTGACCAGCAGGACATTGACGGCCCATGGAGCTTACCTAAGCGAGCAGTGCCACCGGTCACTGCGGGCAAAGTCGAAAAGGTAAGGCTGTTCAGATGAAGATCAAACGGGGTGGGAATGTAATACAACATATGGATAGGTGGCGCAGTAGATGCGGCGCAGAAATTTTAAAAGGGAGAGGAATCCTCGACGACGACAAAGTGTAAAATATCAAGGTTAACACTATCCCACTAGTTTGAGACCATTTATTTTAGATTCTAAATCATATAGGAAGGCTTGCCATTCTTCGTCTGAACTCAAAGACGTGACGCCACGGGTCGGGATCCCAATTGATGCGCAAAATGTTAAATCACTGCAAGATCATTGAAACCCAATCCGGACGGCCGTGATTTTATGTGGCAAACACATTGTAGCTCCTCTATACACGCAATCTCAATTTTAAACCATGTCCGCATGTATGGCCAGCTCATGGCCAGCTCGATTTTTAACACTTTGTTCGTCAGGCAACGGGGTTAGGGATATACATGGGATGTAAAACTTTCGTTCCAAGGTCGCCACTGCAGCCGCAGAATACTGATGTCACATTTCCTCAGACTTTGTGTTTTATAGTTCGGGCTTCTCTTTTTCTCGTTTGCCCGCTCATGTGATTCGAATGAATATTCGCTGCTCTGGCGCTGCAGCGCAGCTCAGCGTCAGCGTCAGCGCTCATATCAACTCGCCATCAGCACTATCAGCTCGCCACAATAGCGCCGTTCACAGTAAAATCGCCTCTGATACAGGAAACTTACAAAGCGCCTCGATGACATTATCCAGGAGTCTTCAGCACTCAAGTCACATCTCGTTCAGCAACTCAAAAATCTCAGCAACGCAGTTCCCGAGCTAGTCAACTTTGATATCTCTGTTAGTGTTTTCGCTCCCCTTTCTGAGGAAGACTACTTATTTGTATAACTGTAGCTCGCCCAACAAGTAATTCCACACCTTAGCGACGCCCGTAGTGCCAAGGCTCCGTTTCAGCTTGCAACAGTGTTGTCGTACGCCAGGCAGACTGCAACGTCCACTGTCGCCAAGGACATGAAACCTGGGACCTCCTGCTTCGAGGCGGTTGGTGAAGCTATTGCCCAGTTATCAGCGGAGTGCAACAAGTTACTCCCTTTGGCAATGGAACCTGAGAACGTGTTCAAGAGTAGGCTTCTTTTAGCTTTGATATTCGTCAAATATCATGCTAACGATGGCCAAGTCTCTGGCACACCACCGTGGGTCCTACGAATTGAGGAGATCAGAGCCAGAATGACTACCAAT